TGGCCCCTGTGTGAGACGGGAGGCTGGACTAGATGGATCCTCACTGGTCTGACCCAGCAGGGCTCTTCTGAGGTTCTTGTCAGGGGAAGACTTCGGCTTCTCTGCCCTGTTGTTGCCCCTCCAGAGGAACTGGTTGGCCCCTGTGTGAGACGGGAGGCTGGACTAGATGGATCCTCACTGGTCTGATCCAGCAGGGCTCTTCTGGTGTCCTTATCAGGGGAAGGCCTTGGCCTCTCTGCCCTGTTGTTGGCCCTCCAGAGGAACTGGCTGGCCCCTGTGTGAGATGGGAGGCTGGACTAGAGGGACCCTCACTGGTCTGATCCAGCAGGGCTCTTCTGGTGTCCTTATCAGGGGAAGGCCTTGGCCTCTCTGCCCTGTTGTTGGCCCTCCAGAGGAACTGGCTGGCCCCTGTGTGAGATGGGAGGCTGGACTAGAGGGACCCTCACTGGTCTGATCCAGCAGGGCTCTTCTGGTGTCCTTATCAGGGGAAGGCCTTGGCCTCTCTGCCCTGTTGTTGGCCCTCCAGAGGAACTGGCTGGCCCCTGTGTGAGATGGGAGGCTGGACTAGAGGGACCCTCACTGGTCTGATCCAGCAGGGCTCTTCTGGTGTCCTTATCAGGGGAAGGCCTTGGCCTCTCTGCCCTGTTGTTGGCCCTCCAGAGGAACTGGCTGGCCCCTGTGTGAGATGGGAGGCTGGACTAGAGGGACCCTCACTGGTCTGATCCAGCAGGGCTCTTCTGGTGTCCTTATCAGGGGAAGGCCTTGGCCTCTCTGCCCTGTTGTTGGCCCTCCAGAGGAACTGGCTGGCCGCTGTGTGAGACGGGATGCTGGACCAGATGGACTACAGTTCGTTTGCTTTGAAAAGTTTGGGTTAACAAGATTGACACACTAAACTAATGAACATAATTCCCAATACATCCCCAAAGTGTTGGAAACTCTGCGGCGAAAGAGCAACCTATCTTCACAATCGGTGGACGTGCAAACACATACAGAATTATTGGATCTTGATTGCAAAGCAAATAGAAAAGCTCACAAGTTATAACATTGAATCCTGCATTAATGCTGCTCCACCTCTGGCCTCCAGATCGTCCACCTGCAAATAGAATAAAACTAATTAATATCTTGTTAACAACAGCCAAAATAACAATTGCAAAAAACTGGAAAAACAAAAACCCTCCCACAGTGAATCAATGGCTACATAAGACATGGGATATATTTATGCTGGAAAAATTCTCAATTTATGATACCATGAACCAAAATGAATGCGAATTTTACAATACGTTAAACATATGGTACCCGATTTTAGACAAAATAACATTACACAAATTTGACTGGGAAAACATCACTGAAGCAAAATACAAGATAATGCTGTACAGCTGAGAATATAATATGTTATACCGTTCACACCATTTTACAGTTACTAGAAGACAGCAGCACAATAGTACAGCTATACGATCTGTTTGATGTAAAGCGTCTAACTCTGAACCTTTTCCAATATTGATAGTAATGCTGAATGTTTGAATGTTTGAATTTGAAACTGAATGTTTGAATTTGTATTTTACTTTCTCTTGTTGCATTGTTGATTATATATATTGAAAAAATTAATAACATTTCTTTTTTAAAAAAAAACAAGACTGACACCATGGTGGGTGTCTCCAGTTTGGATGGGGGGAGGCCTTTCTTAACCCCCCCTCACTAGCTCTCAGACATAACACACACACACCCCGCACAACTGCTGTGATGCCCATGGCAGGGGAAATGAAGAGCCCCTACTAGTTTGGCAGGAGGGGCCCCATTTCTCTTGGGGGAACTGGGCAGGGGGCAGGCACTGAAAGAACTACCCCCTGACGCCGCAGCTCCGATGTCCAGTGCCCCGCCACCCAGTCTCAAGGGAGTGCCCTGCCCTTGGACACTTCAGCCAGCGGCAGAGGGACCTGGTTATCCTGCACAAGTCAAGCCTCCTCTTGGGGAAATCTCCTTCTCAGCCTCCAATTGCGAGCTGGGAAGCGTGCCCCCATCAGAAGAAAATCTTTCGTAAAGCAGTGGGACCGTCTTTGGGGTGAATGCAGCTGAGAACTTGTAATGTATTCTGTGCTGCCTAGAATGCATTAAGATGGTTGTGAATCATCTCATAAGGAAGCAATGTTAAGCTTCGTCTTGAACAGGGATTGAAGTTCAAGACTACTGCGTCCAATCAGGTTCAAATGTGTATAAGCGGGAAAGACTCTGATTGGTCCTTATTGTCTCAACCTGATAGGTTGTTTAACTGTATAGTAGGCGTGGCTATATTAGCCGGGAATGTTTAAATACCGAGCAGCTGCAATGGGAAGCTGTTCGGGCTATCAGAGAAGTTGTACCGTGTCAGAGAAGTTGATCGTCGAGCTGAAATAAACCTGAGTTTTGCTGAATCACTCTCTGGCTATTTTGTTAAGCACCGGACTTAACAGAACTGAAGGTCCGGGACGCAGAGATGGAATTGTTTGGGAAGATTCTAGCAGGCAAGGCAGAGCTTTGCCCCCCTCCCTCGCATCATTTCCTGAGGCAGCCAGCGCTGCTCTCCCAGAGCCTCCGCCTTTCTTCTACAAGCAGGGTGCCCTCCACAAGCACCCCCATCACACACACACACCCCCTCAAAGAAGACACGGGCTCGAGGGGGCACAGGTCCAAGAGCACTCTGAGCAGCCCTGTTCCAGCTTGGATCGTTACCCCCAGCCTCCAACCAGCTCTGTGCTGTTGTTCCACAAAGGGCCACGGAAAGCACATGCCCAGCACATCTCCGTACACTAGCCCAGGTGGCAACTGCATTCCCAGGGGCGGCCCCCCAAACCAAGGAGGCCCCCAAGGCAACCAAAAACTATTCAAACCATGATGCTTTAAATGGAAAGAGACATTGATTAACCCCGCTGAAACGACCACTGACCACATCCAATCATCAAACCCAGCAAGGGGGGGGAAGCACAAGAGTGTCCAGTGATCAACAAGCAGGCAAACAGCAACTGATTCCCAAAGCCCCCCCCCAAAAAAAAAGAAGAAGAAGAAGAGGAGGAGGAGATTGGACTTATACCCCACCCTTCACTACCCAAAGGTGTCTCAGAGCGGTTTACAGACTCCTTTCCCTCCCCCTCCCCCTCCCCACAACAGACGAGGTAGGTGGGGCTGAGAGAGCTCTGAGAGAACTGTCCTTGAGAGAACAGCCCTGACAGAACTATGGCTTGCCCAAGGTCATCCAGCAGCTACGAGTGGAGGAGTGGGGAATCAAACCCGGTTCTCCCAGATTAGAGTCCGCACACGCACCCACGACACAAAAAAGACTAGGGCTAGGCTCGGCCACTCACCGCGAAGAGTGAGGGAGCTCAACCGACCAATCTGGGCGAATCTGTGGGATGCAGAGGTGGACTGCCTCTGAACGTGGAGGTTCACTTTACTCACTATGGCTAGTAGTCACCAACAGTGCTCCCTCTGAGTTAGTGTGAGCTAGCTCACAGTTTTTTAGCCTCCAGCTCACAGAATTTAGACCACTTAGGAAGGATGGGGCTCCAGAGCAGACTGATTTATGCAGCAGCCCAATCGCTCGCTCACAACTTTAATGCCAGGAGCTCACAAAGTAGGATTTTGGCTCACGAGACTCTCCACCGCTTAGAGGGAGGCATTGGTCACCAATGAATCTAATCCTCTTTTAAAATTCC